TTTGTGGCAGAATTATTTTGACTACGAAACTCTCTGCTCTCCACTCAGCTTAGCAACGAGATAACCAGAGAGCGAAGCTTCTCTGAAACAGCATATAAAACTTTCCTACTACAGAACAGACTTTAAATCAAAATGGATGCTATTGGGACAATCTTAGGACTACATATCCCATTCTAATACACATAAAAACACAAATCATCACACTGGGATATGGACTTGATCTAGAACCGACTTGTTTATCTTTCTAGTGGACCAAGGTATCCACAGAGCTCTCCTCCAGCATCATAGTTTGAAGTAATTTGCTAGTTTTAATACCATATCAAAAAGTGTAACAAGTTATGAAGTATAATTTGGGTGGTAATAATAAATGTTTGTGTGTAGCACTGCTTGTATATGGATCCACCCTGTACAAAGTGTGTGTGTGGAACCGACTTGTTTATCTTTCTAGTGGACCAAGGTATCCACAGAGCTCTCCTCCAGCATCATAGTTTGAAGTAATTTGCTAGTTTTAATACCATATCAAAAAGTGTAACAAGTTATGAAGTATAATTTGGGTGGTAATAATAAATGTTTGTGTGTAGCACTGCTTGTATATGGATCCACCCTGTACAAAGTGTGTGTGTGCTTGCAACCTACCTTTTGATGTCTGAGAATCAACAAGAACTACTATCCCCCTCCCATCAAAGTGCCTAGTTCTGAGGGATCCCAAGTTATTTTGGCACCTGAGGCAGAAAACCATGCAGGCATTTTTTAGAGTAAAAGTGGAAGACAAATGAATTAATAATTTAGCCCTCTTTCTTTGAGAATTGCTTTCATGACACCTGAAATCACCAGCTGCTTGAAGTGGCTACTTTGCTTTAACAAATGGCAAACCCTAACCCTGCCAAATCTGGCAATTTTTGTGGCACCCTTGTGGAACTAGCACAGAGTCAAAGAGTTCCAGTTTTCTTTGGCCCTGTTGAGGTACACCACTTTTAACTCCAAGTGGACAGAACTGAGAACACAAATCCTTCACACTCTTTTGGTTCTTGAAACATTGAGGATGATGGTGATGATTATCAGATTATAACAATAAGAAGTGTTGTGAATGGCTTTACCTATAGAACAAAAGCATCTCATTTATGATGTGCTAGACTTGTTGAAGATTGTTGCACGCACGCACAAACTCACCCACCGACCCCAGTCAAATGCTGGCTATTATTAAGTATTATTTATAGCTCAGATAACTTACTGTAGTAGTTTTTCTATAAAAACCAGGAGGTTTGGCCTGATCATATGTCTAGCTCCTCTCATATGATAACATTGATAGGCTTCATAATACATATGGAATAACAGAATAACCCAGCCCCCTTATTGATCAGATGGTAACAGAGTGATTTGGCTGGCCAAGGGTTTTCCCTATTAAAGATTATTTATTTATTTGATTGATTGATTGATTTCTATACTGCCTATCTGGCAGCCAAGGCACTCTGGGCTGTTTACAACAACTAAACAATAAGATAACATAATCACAAAGAACTCAACAACATCCATAAAATATAAAGGTGCAAAATAAAAATACCATAAAATACAATGAAAAACATACTATATTTTTCTGTGTATAAGATAATACTTTTTTCTAAAATAGTTACTGCAAAAATTGAGTGTCATGTTATACACAGTACACAGAAGCGGCCACCGGAGGTGAAGGTGAAGGAGCAGCCGTGCTCAGCCGCCCCTCGCAGCTGCCCATTGGCTGTGGCCACCCAATCACCTCCTCCAGAGCCACTCACGGGGCTCACCTCGAGCTCATGCCACCGCCTTGTCCCCTGCCTGAAGGGAGCCCACGAGTGGCCGTGGAGGAGGTGATTAGGCGGCCGCAGCTGCAGACAATGGGCAGCCTCGAGGGGCAGCCGAGTGTGGCTGCTCCTTCACTTCTGCCTCCTCCTGCTGCTACCGCTGCCACCTGATCGCCTCTTCCAGTGCCACTCACGGGCTCCCTTCGGGCAGGGGACAAGGCGCCGACATGAGCTTGAGGTGAGCCCCGCGAGTGGTGCTGGAGGAGGCAATCAGGCGACTGCAGCAACAATCAATGGGCAGCCGCTAGGGGCAGCCAAGTATGGCTGCTCCTTCATCTCCGCCTCTGGCTGCTACAAGGGTCAAAACTGGGTGGCATCTTATACATTGGGGGGTCTTATACATGGGAAGATACAGTAATAAAATGACACGAAAAGCATGATGGTAGGTTAGATGTTAAGTTATTAGAAGCACTATTGCATCAGGATGTTTTTCTAATCTGGAAAGGCCTGTCTAAATAAACAGGTTTTAGTGTTTTTTAAAGATGCCCAGTGAAGGGGCTAGGTGGATTTTGGGCGGGAGGTTGTTCCACAATTGCAGATCTACCGCCAAGAAGGCCCGATTTCTGGTGATTGTTCCAAGCCTTTCTCAGGATCAGAACCCTCAGCCACCCTGCCTGAGACAATCTTGCTGGATGGACAGACATGACAGGAAGTAAGCGCTCAGCTAGATACTGAGGTCCTAACCTTATAGGTTAATACCATCACCTTAAAACTGGTATGGAAGCAAACAGGTTACCAGATAAACATGTCTTAGCACATGCTGCCAGAATGATGCTAATCATTTATCATTGATATTGAGAACTAAAACTAAAATGATAACATTCCATCGACAGATAGGCCTTCTGTATTTTTAATAATAATACCACACTGGAACAGATCCAAGTCCCAGGGACCTGGGTTCCCCTAGGATGGCATTGAAAACCCTCTGTAGATGAGGTGCCAAGATTTCCCTGAAATATTTATAGAAGGAAACAGTATATGCATCCAGCCTCACGGCCAAATTTGGTTTGTCATTCTAAATAGCTTCCATCACCTCTTTAGTTTTCTTCCTGCTTTCCTCATCTAGTGGTTTCACCTTGGTGGATGCCTGGTGGATCATCAGAATTGGAAGAGAAGAAAGAGTATAAACATTCATAACAATCCGCAAAAGCTTCCAGAATCTTTTGTGGATCTCCACACCTTTCACCATTCTTATTTATTATAGCAGCAATTCAAGCTTTTCTCTTCCTTGTTTTTAACCTATTTGCCAAAAGCTTTGAGCTCTTCCCTTCAAATTCATAGTACTTTTGTTTATTTATTTTATTTAAAATATCTTTTACCCTACCTTTCTCCTTAAAAAGGACTCAAGGCAACTTAAATCATTAAAAGACAGAATGTATTTGAAAGCTACAACAATGAATATACAATTGCTAAAAAGGATCAAACAAATATATTAAAAAGCACAAGCACATTTAAAGTAGTAAGGTACAAATAAAATAAAATAAAAGTCCCCACTCAGGCTAGAATAAACAGAGGTTCTAGAAGGTTGCCATTGTTTCCATGCAGATCTCTTTCCCATTATCCTGTGACACTATCTGTTGCTTATGAATTGGAACTTTTTAATATAAGAGAGTAGGATGATGGATAAAAGGGATCCACATTCATATGTTCCGTCCAGCAGAGACTAAAAATGCTGGTTGTTGTAGGTTTTTTGGGCTGTTTGGCTGTGTTCTGACGAAACAGCCCGAAAAACCTAAAACATCCATCGGATCCCGTCTGTGAAAGCCTTTGAGAATACACTAAAAATGCTGTTGCAATGGTGATGTTTATTTATTTTAATTAGATTTTAGTTGCTGAATTTAGCTATCTTGCTTAAAACAGTTATGAAATGACAGTGAATGTTTTGGAGTAAACAATAGGAAAGCTGACATATCTGTTCCCTCCTGTCTTTGTTCCAGGGATCTTAAGACATTTATACATCTTCTAAAGCAGCAGGTTATTACACAGAAATAAACATGCCTTCAGAAACAGGAAAAACAGATATGGAGAGAATTGGTCTCTTTAGTGAAATGGAGTACATCAGCATTGGGGATAAATATGTCTCACAATTTAACCGTAAGTACATTTTCTTCATTGTCATCACTTAGCAATGCTATGGTTGTTCTTTTTTTTCCTGGGGGTGGGGGTGTTTCCAAAAAATTAATTGCTTGTCTTGCACTTAACAAAAGTGGATATTTCAAATAAGGTTGTTTGTAGACTAATTTTTAAGATTGTTTGGCTTTTCCATCACACTAAGAAAGAAGTGGATGGTGTTAATGATCAGAATGACCCATGTGAAGTTGCCAGTTTTGCAAGGAAATGCACTTAAAGCGTATGGTATGTTAACTATCTTAGGCAAATCTTGCTTCTGGCATGTCAAACTGTAGAGAGTTAAAATAATGTGTATGTTAGGGGTGGGGATAAACCGTCCAAGCAAGCCAACTGCCTGGGAGCAACCTTTGTTCCTCATATACTGTAATTTAAAGTGTCTTGGCTGACATGTAATATGGACTTGTTATCTGCTTCACAAATAATGCTACTCATATGTTCTTGCCATGCTTTTCCTCCTCCCAAACCAGGCCCTTCCCCTTTATACACAACAGCTAGAAGCCTTTCTTTCAAAAGTGCTTGGATTGGCTCAAAAACAATTTTAGAATTTTTATTTGCAAGTAGAATGTTGACTAGAACAGCAATAATGTTCATTTGGATCCTGACAGTACACATTGCGAGGCCTTGTCAGTCAATTACTACCCTGTTTCCCCAAAAATTCCTGCCAACCTAGCAGTTTGAAAGCATGTAAATGAGAGTAGATAAATAGGTACCACCTCGGTGGGAAGGTAATGCGTCTAGTCACGCTGGCTACGTGACCACTGCCCTTCCCCTTTATACACAACAGCTAGAAGCCTTTCTTTCAAAAGTGCTTGGATTGGCTCAAAAACAATTTTAGAATTTTTATTTGCATGTAGAATGTTGACTAGAACAGGGCCTTATATTAATTTCTGTTCCAAAATGCATTAGGGCTTATTTTCAGATTTTTTTTTTCATGTACAACAATCTAGGTAAAGGCTCCCCTTGACATTTAGTCCAGTCGTATCCGACTCTAGGGCGTGGTGCTCATCCCCATCTCCAAGCCATAGAGCCAGCGTTTGTCCATAGACAGTTTCTGTAGTCACGTGGCCAGTGTGACTAGACACAGAATGCCGTTACTTTTCCACTGTGGTGGTACCTATTTATCTACCCGCATTTACATGCTTTCGAACTGCTAGGATGGCAGGAGCTGGGACAAGCGATGGGAGCTCACTCCGTTGTGTGGATTCGATCTTATGACTGCTGGTCTTCTGACCTTGAAGCACAGAAGCTTCTGCGGTTTAGCCCGCAGCACCATCACGTCCCACAACAATCTATATTTATTCGAATATGGACATCCCATCTTCTGATTGATGCACAATGGTGGAGGGCAGGGTTTCACTTAACTGGGGCTTATTTTTGGGGTAGGGCTTATATTACGAGCATCCTGAAAAATCATACAGTGGGGTCTTGACTTGAGAACTTAATCCGTATTGGAAGGTGGTTCTCAAGTCAAAAAGTCTGTAAGTCAAGCTGTCTGTAAGTCAAGGGTCCACTGTATTAGGGCATATTTTCAAGTTAGGTCTTATTTTCGGGGTATAGAAAGATCTTATACTTTGAAGAATATGTTTCAAAAACCTTTCTTCTGCTTTTGTTGTTTCTGGGTTATATTGTTGCTGAAGAATGATTTGGGGCCATAGATGCTCAAACCATTGGTACGCTGCACTCAAGTTGTCTTTCCCTCTTGTATTTCTGCCCCACCGTCTTCCAGGCAGTCTTTATAGAATGGCTGGGTATTTAGTATATAGGTCCAAAAATGCTGAAACTAATTAATGGGAGGGAAATATATTTGTGTACGTATTTCTCCTATCTAGGATAGTAGTAAAACTTCTGTTTCTGTTATATTCCAGTTTATTTCCTGGAAACAAATTCTAGAGGGAGAGTCTAAAGAGGAAAGGGACAAAGCTCACTAAGCTAGTGGTTCCCAACCTTCGGTTACCTTGGTGTTCTTGGACTGCAACTCCCAGAAACCCCAGCCAGCACAAATAGTTGTGAAGTCTTCTGGGAGTTGCAAGAACACCTGATAAAAACAAAATAGAAATAAAAAATATATCATCTGATGAAGTGGGCTTGTCCACAAAAGCCCACACTAAAAAATTATAATAGTCTTTAAGATGCCACCACCTTTTTGGTGTTTTAATTTTTCCTCCTATTTTGCTTCTACCTATAATGTTTGCAAAGACTAACACGGCTACCCTTCTACAAGAACATCTGGGTTACCCAAGGTTGTGAACCACTGCTCTGAGACATCTTTTGCAGTTCCATTTAGTCATGTTACTCAACTCTATTGGGAATTGTACCATCTTAATTAAGGAAAAATGTATTAGCTTTGAAGGTCTCTGAACTTTTGTTCTTTTTCTTAAAAACATTTGGCCTGGTTCAAGTGTATGGTATGGAGGTTCATGTCTCAAAAGTTAAAACTAAGTGGTAGCAATATTGACAACAGTGAATTTATTTTGAAGGCCCTTTTAATGAAGCTGCAAGCAAGAACAAGCAGATGCTGCCAGGGGGTAACAAGGAGAAGGCAGCTACCCAGGCAGGTTATTTTGACCCTGTTTTTGGAAGAATTTTCGAAGGTGAAAGCTATTTAAATCCTGTTCAGCTACGGAGACGATATCGAATGGCGGAGGCAAAGAAAAACCTGGGAAGCAAAGCCTTCCTTCCCAGTAATGGAGATAAATTTCCGTAAGTGCTGAAAAAAATGCATCAGTTTGATATTTATTTATATATTATTGAATTTGTTACCCCCGCACCATCTGCCAAGCAGGCCACTTATTATGGATTTCGGTTACTTATGTTTATATTTACAATAAAAAATGAAGGAATAAATTCAGGTGATTTTGCTGTCTAAGCTGTTAAAGATTTGACCCAACCCCAAATATTATATGATGTCTCTGCTCCCTGATTCCAGCTGTAGCAATAACTCCAGTTGTCCCAACTCACAATTACATACCATAAGTCTTCTCTTCTATGAGATGAGAATGAACAACTTTTGCAATGCAGGCTGACCGTCATTGATATATAGAACATATTTTTGATCAAAGTATACATTGTACATACCATAAGTCTTCTCTTCTATGAGAATGAACAACTTTTGCAATGAAGGCTGACTGTCATTGATATATAGAGTGGTCATAATTGACTAGATAGGCGGGATATAAATACAGTCAATCAATCAATCAATCAATCAATCAATCAATCAATCAATCAATCAATCAATCAATCAATATTTTTGATCAAAGTATACATGAGAATATTTGGAGTAAGATGCTGGAGGTCCTCCGATCTCATATGTTAATCTTGTGACATATTTAATCTTAAAATGTATCTTTTTGTTGATGTATATTTAAATGTTATTAAAGTTATTTTTAGTTGGCTGGATAGCTCAGTTGCTTAGGTATCTGGCTGCAGAACCAGAGGTTGGAAATATGTGCCTCATGTGAGCAGAGCCAGCGTTGTGTGGCCTTGGGCAAACTGCACAGTCCCAGGGCGCCCCCAGAAGAAGGAAATGGTAAACCACTTCAGTGCATTCTCTGCCTAGAAAGGGTTGCCATAAGTTGGAATTGAGTTCACAGCACATAATAATTATTAAAGTTACTTTTTTTTTTAAAAAAAGAGAGATTTTTCTCATAGAAAAACATGGGAAGTCTGCAAGTATTGGTTCTAGGTCATAGCTCTTTGAGGAGCTTGTTTTTCCATTTAATGTCCCTGACAGTGAAACAGTCATTTTAAAAGTATGAACCAGAGCACAGTCAGAGAAGTGCAACTTTCTTGCTTCTACATACTTTTCTCTCAACATCATGATCTGCTTTGTTATATGCAACTCCAGAATTAGACATGCAAAGCAAGTAAGTATTTACATTTCAGAAATAATTCAGATGATAGCATGCTTCTCCCTTTAGCATATTGTCACAGTTATGCCTTCTCCACCACTTGAGGGAGCACTCCTTATAGATTTTTTTTCTTGGCCATGTGCTTTGATCTTTGATAGTCAAATATACCTCTTAAAGGTCTGCAAAACAGGACTTTCCTGAGGTGAGAAACAATGTCCATATTAGAAATGGTGGAATTGTTAAGGAAAAATCATTAAGGTGTCCTGTCATTTTTCTCTAGTTAAAACAAAACTCTACATGGTATATTAGGATACACTATTGGAAAATTGAATATTTATTTTGGTATTTCTCATGGCTGGGTCTTGATTTCATCATGTAACAAGACTTTTAGAAGAGAAAACAACTATTGAAGTGTTGGGTGAAATGTATAAATTCACAGATACTGTGAGACACAGATCTATCAGGCACAGCTGTACTCCTTCTACCATCCCTACAAACACTGCTGAAAATCCAATTTCTAACCTCTCTCATTTTCTGTACTAGCCTGCTTCTTTCATGGCTGCATGCTTCCTCTAGGCCAGTGGTTGCGAACCTTTCTGGGCTCGCATGCCCAAACAAAAACAAAAACCCAGCAGGTGGTGTGCTGCGGTGGCGGTGGAACTGGAAGTGGCGGTGGAAACTACAAACACTGCTGAAAATCCAATTTCTAACCTCTCTCATTTTCTGTACTAGCCTGCTTCTTTCATGGCTGCATGCTTCCTCTAGGCCAGTGGTTGCGAACCTTTCTGGGCTCGCGTGCCCAAACAAAAACAAAAAACCAGCAGGCGGTGTGCTGCGGTGGTGGTGGAACTGGAAGTGGCAGCGGAAAGGGGAATCCCGACATGGAGGTGCCTCGAGACCCCACTCTGGATCTGCCGCCAGCAGCAGCTGCTCTGGATCCTGACCTGCCACCTGTCTGGGAACCAGCACCGTGGCTACAGCTGCCTTCTTAGGTTTGGCTGTGTGTGTAGCGATCCGGCAGCTTATGGCTGTGTGCCGGCAGAAAGGGCTCCGTGTGCCAACTATGGCATGTGTGCCATAGGTTCACCATTGCTGCTAGGCTATGGACCATGGAAATCTCATCTACTGGAGTCCTTAAGGCAGACCTGGGCAAAGTGCGGCTCGAGGGCCACATACAGCCTATGAGCCGCTCCTGTCTGGCCCGCCGGTCATCACTCCAGTCAAGCACTTGTTCAAGCCCAAGACAGACTGGATTTCTCTCACTGAACAAGTTGAACATCAAAACCATTTACAGCTTTTTGTCTAAAGTTGATCGGTTGCTTATCTTTCCCAGGCATGTGTGCCTGGGAAAGCCTGGTAGACTGGGCCTACCAGGGGAGGGCTTCCCCCGGCAGGCCCGGTCTACTCCCCCATTTTTTTGTGGAGGGGGGCGGTTTCTTGGGCCGGTTACAGATTAAATGGTTTTCAGTGCATTCCTATGGGAAATGCATTTTAGACCTACGGACTTTTTGACCTACGGACACCATTCCAATATGGATTAATTCCGTAGGTCAAGGGTCCACTGTATAAGAGCAGAATACAGTATTGCTCTGTTTCAAGCAATGGGACTCTGGTTTGCACAGGAGGGCAGTGAATATGCAGTAAAAATAAACAGTATTTTGTCTGTCACATATATTTTTAACACATACAGTTCTGGACATAATTTGTATACTTTTATTCTTACCCATTAAGCAAACAAATAGTTTATGAGTTGCAGATTTAATAGACAAATGCTGACTTTTAAAAAACTTTTTTATCTTACAGTTGTGGTATAGGAACATATTATGGAACAATTGGAGGTCCATGTCCCTATTTTAGTGCACAAACCAAAGACAGGCCACCATATGTTCAGCCTGGGAAGAATCTTTATACCAATCCAGGAAAGAAAGGAACTGGCTATGGGTAAAGGATTTTAGAATTCTAGTCCATGATTCTTTTTTGAAAATTTTACAGACTTTTGAATGTTGGTGTCACCACTATCTTATTTCTCTATCGAGGTATCCAAATCTTACCATAGGTAAACCGTACCCCCATTCAGTTGAATTATATGACATCGGGAGGATAAACTTTAAGGTAATTTTTTTGCTGATTTGCCATTTAATTTCGGGTTCTTATGCCTATTCTGTTCCAGATTATCAGATCTTGTTTTATTATATGCTAACAAGAATGTACATTAATCACCTTTGCTCTTTAAATATACAAAGAGTATAATTCTTTAGTTTTGTACTTGTTGATTCAAAAACTGGACTTGCTTTTTCCATGTAGCATTGTTTCTGTCTTATGAATGTACTTATAATGGTTTTATTAGCCTAAACAGATATCTTACTTTTTAGTATAGTAGGTAATGTGTAACAGCCCCCTGGCCTTGCTTTCTTAGAGTAAATGCCTAACAGATTTTAAAGAAAGCAAGCTGTAAAATGTCCTTTAGAACAGCAGCAGTGGGGGGAGTGTGGCTCTGCTAGAGTTCTGTATGAACCTAAATTTGTAATCTCAGCATTGTTGATATTAATCAATATCAATAATACTGAGATTGCCCACTATATTTATTAGTGTCCACTATATTGTCCACTATATTTATTATATTTTATATTATCCATTATGTTTATACCTGCCTTTCTACTAATGCTGGTAAAACAGATTAAATGGTAGATCTTCAAGGTATTAAATATAATATGAGTTAGAAGTACTCAATATAATATCTTCCATCTCTAATTTATGCAGAAAACATCTGAAGAACACCATCGCCTTATGAAAGGTGGGCCTTTCAAATTGAATCTTTATCCTCGAGAGTATTTTGATATAAATCCTTACCACGATGACAAACCATTGCCACCACCAAAGAAACAACCGGCAGTAAAACCAATTCAGCAACCATTTAAGCCAAGCTCTCCTGCCAAGAAGGTGGAATTATTATCTAAAATTTTGAAAAATGTGGATGTTATTATTTTAAATCACATGAATTTTAATTAATTACAAAAAATTTAATATGTACCGTCTTTGTTGCGGTTTAGAGATAAATAAAATTTTAAAAGTTTTGGGCTGGGAGGGGAAGCCTGACAAAGCAGCAGAAAATAAACCATGGGGTTTGGGAAGGACAAAAAAGAGTGGGAATTCAAAATTGTATATACCAAGGCAAGGGGAATGTCATCTGGATGGCAGAAGAAATCATGCCAAGGTTTGTGCTTCACAGGATGTTTAAAGAGTACAAATGTTCCACTTGGAAGAACCCTTAGCCCAAATGTGAGGCAGTAACACCAAATCAAGTGATTGTGAAACTCAATCATGAAAAAGGAGCAGCTAGTCCTAGGTAATAGTCGGGGGGATCCACATAAAACCAAGAGGTTTTGGTTTAATTTGTTGTCTGAACATGGTCATCGTGTTGTGTAGTAGTGGATATTGGTGAACTCTGACCAGGAGGATTTGAATCTAACTCACCCTTGGAAGAAGGGTAGGACAAAATGGTGATAAATAAAGGAAAATTTAAAAACTGGTAACTTGTTAAAAATACTGATTTCAGACAAAATGCTTGGCTCAACTTAGCATGTTAAAGAAAACGGCGTCTTTTATTTATCACCAATATACTATATACATATATATACTGTACAGTATATTGCTTTGTTTTTGCTTTTCCAGCCAGGAGGCATGAAAGCAGGCACATTTGATCCTTATCCATCTCATTCCACGGATCCTTACATCATTAAGCTGCCCAGGCCTATCACAACCAATAAACAAGGGCAGGTCTTTCATCCTAATCCTGGGACTAAGAGCAGACCAGTAAGAAGTATTATGACCTCAAACATCGAAAAGTAAGTACTTGATATCTGCAGCAGTCAATTAGTAAGAAATGTTTTGCAGGGGCTCATATTTATCTGGCATTGTAGGTGTCTCAACCAGGGTACCGGCTGGAGAAGCATATCTCAGTTGGGACAGTTTTGATGTTATTAATGAGGATGTGGGCAGGTAAAGGTGTGGTGGGGTTATGGCAGAAGAGACCACCTTTGAGAGATTGGGATATGTCTCTGTCCCCACGGGCTCTTTGGGGGAAACATTCCTTCTACAACCATTATTTTTACCCTGAGGCCCTATCAAATCTGGAAGATATTTTTTGGCTGAAAATGGCCAGATGTAGGGCAAATATCCAATTACATCTCCTGGAGGTTTATGTGGCCATTTAAAGATCAGTTTTTTTAGTGGGCTACAAAAATGGCCTTGTGGGCCACACTTTGCCTACCTCTGGGGTATGGGGAAAGTACAGATTACCAGCTACCTTCTGGACAGATAAACCCAGGTTTTCCTACAGAACGAAGAAATTGCAGTGAATGGCTAGAAAATTTAAATTCATCAATTAAAAGATTTGTCCAGCCTTTTCACAGGACCTTGATTAATAGCTGAGGTAAAGTATGTTCAGACAAGCTGGTAAACAATCTTGGCACTCGCATGTAGAGAAAAAGTACCATATGTTGCATAATGCTATATGACAGGGCAGGCAATTTTAGCCTTTCAGAAGATGCTGAACTGCAATTCCTACCAGCCCTTATTGCTGGTTAGAATGAAAAGGGGTTATGGGAACTGTATTCCAACAATATCTGGAAGGTATAGTCAACAACTCATATAGTCAACAACTCTAGAAGGATATTACATTTTGGACAGAAGAGCTTTTGGCTACTGGATAAGCTTTAATATCGTGGGCTTAGACCATATTTAATTCAAAATATTTTTGTGTAGGGAGAACCTTGACTGAATACAGAAATGCACCTGGACATTGCCAGGTACAACAGAAAAACATACTCATAAATCTTATGGCATTTTCTTTACATATACTTTTCAGATCATTAAACGTAACCAACTACACAAATCCACGTGTGATGTCGTATTAGCTGTACAAAAGAAAGATGAATGAACTCTGCAAACAGAATCAGCTCAAGTAAATAAAATTTTGTCGCTGTGGGAAACATGTTAAATGGTCTCTGGTCTGCAACTCTTTATCCCCAAAACCTGCTTAGGAGAGTCTTCTAGTCCTCCAGAGAAGGTTTCGAGGGCACACAGAATGCTGTTGGGGAATCACAACCCTCCCAGTACTAATGATGGAAACAGTAATGTTAGTAGAAACGTCCAGCGGGCCTTGGGCAATATCTAATAAAATTAGGAGTATATTTTGATACAGTTTTCATTTACGTTGTATATATTAGTGTTTGTAAAAAATAAATATTTATATTTTGCGTGATTAACATCA